ACTACTACTACTACTACTACTCTACGACTATTACTACTACTACTACTACTTCTACTTCTACTCCTTCTGCTGTTACTACAATGATTACTGCCAACGACTACTCTTGCTAATACGGTTATGAGTACTGCTATCCCCGGTGGCCCACGATACGAGTCGGAGTGGTGCTACGCGTATCTGGAGTAGTGGTGCTGATAGCAGTTGTGTTGGCAGTTGCAAGCCGATTCGCAGCAGAGGAAATAGGAGTATATGTAATAGGACGAGCGCCCGCAGTAGCAGAAACTGTGGCAGCAGCAGGTTTTGGGACCACGTTAAATTATGACTTTAATCTGCTTAGAAAATTCGCGGAGCAATTTCTACATAGTCCTGATATACCCGCACATTCTCACGTAGCAGTACGGGTCCCCCCTGCAGCTCTAGAGCCTGACAATCTTGGAGGGGCATCTTCTGCGGCATCCAGCTTTCTCAAGATCGTGTGGACGCCTTGATGCCCACCGTGCGCAAGCAAACGCATGGCTGCTGGGACTACACGGGCAGGCTTTTCTTTGGGGTTCAGCACTGTGGGTGTGCGGTTCGTGGTGTTGAAGCATTGGATGCAGTGTCCAGGGTTCAGGATTTGGGGTTCAGGCTGTTGAAGGTCCCTGTGCGCATGCATGAAAGTACTAATTAGGATCCTTTGCTGGCATGGGAGCTTCTGAGCACGTTCCTGTCTGTAAATTCCTGAAAAAAAAAACAAGAATTCGTTTATAACCTCTCATTTTATAGCCTTTTTCTTGCTAGGGTGTCTGGGGCCAATAAGACATTCCCAGATTAAAATTTAGTTTTGGTGGATAACACCGCGTAGAAGTCCAGTGGATGAAAACCTAGGCGACGTGCAGCTTCTCATCAAAAGAGAGTGCGACATGTATGACCTGTCCGCCCCGCCGATCCGCCTGCCACACCAGAAGGCGACCACCGAGAGGATGATCCCAAGCAGCAATTAGAGGAACATTGTGGGGTGAGGTAGTCTGAACAATAAGCTCATTGGTGCTAATTTTTGAGGCAGATGCCTACATATTCCTACTGACAGTTGCAGCGCACTAAGGCAAGATGAATTGCTGGGCACCTCAATCGAAACGGTGACTGGTGGCGACACCGTCGGTGATATCAGTGTTGCCTGGCTGAAGCTGTAAAGCATTTTCCTCAACGCGCTAGGAGTCACTAGGCCAAGGATGTCTCCACTACCACACAGATGGCCTTACATCTCATTTTGCACGCGCAGAAGTATTCCCGACCACTCCAAGGTTCTTACATCTGGTCCTTCCACCGATGAACCTACCTTTCTCACGGGACCTTAGTCCGTGCAGCCTCTGCGATCCAGCAGAGAGATGGCGGAGAGCGAAGAATTGCGTCCTTCGGCTCATCTAATAGGATTCGAAGTCGACTTCATGCCATTTTCCTAGTGACATAAACTGCGTCTATGGTTTGCTGCATGCAGCATCTGTTTATGCGCTGGGGCAAATTGTCTTCTGTTGAGCAACACATTGTCTTTAGTAACGTCTCTTGCTTGAATTTTGCAGACGCGGCTTCCTTTTTTGCGAGGCCGTGCCCGGTTCGAGCACTGAATGCTGCGGCGAACGAAGAGGGTTTGGGGACCAGGAAATCCTGCCAACCAACCCAGCTTTAGGTTGGACAGCTTAGAGTCTGTCCTGTCTCACCCAGCCTCTGAAGCCAGGGGGCAGTCGTTGCGCAAAAACAGAAGCGTCATACGGGATTCTGAACGGTCGGTGAAGATGCTATTTGCCGAAGATGCCATGCGCACGACTGAATGGTAGGACGTAGAAGAGCTGCCAAAGAAAACGGCCATGCACTCCTCAGGAGCTGCAGAGCCGGTGGTGCGGCCTCGTGCATGCCACACAGCCCATCCAGCAGTTTCAGCAATGGCAACCAGTTCAAAAGAGGCTTGTGCAGCAGAGGACATCAAAGCAGCTACATGTACCGTAATGCGCAAAACATGGCACAGTAATGCCTTGAGAATGAAGTTGCAAGTTGGCCTGATTGCCATTATGTTCTGGCACAGGAACTAAAGAGAGCCCCGTTCAAAGTGGGCTGTTTGTTACGACGTCCTCATTGCTGCCAGAGGGCAGGAGCAGGGAGGAAGGGAAGGGAGATGCAGACAAGCCGCAAGTATCGTACAAAACCTACTGCACCCCCATTTTCATGATCGTTTACCATGCGCCTTATTTTGATTCCTGGGTCCAGGGCCTCCTTCGTGCTGCGCGCTCCAGGAGCCAGGCGGGTGAGCCTGGCCGGCCATAGAGATTGTATTTGTGTTTGTTGGAGCCTGAGCTGGGGGCACAAGCAGTCAACCCCACTTTTTCTTCGACTCCAGAACCTCAACCTTTCAGTTCCTATTCCCAAGTTGAAGCTGGGATCACGTGCGAGACATGCTGCATTGAGTGCTTTGACGTGCGCTGGTGGTCTTTGTACAGGCGTCGGTCGATGCGGACTGCCAGCAGCGACGCTGCAAAACGTTGTTTAGGCTGCGACAGATTCGCTGATTTGCTATCGCATTGACATATGGTACTGCAGCTGCTGGCACTGCTTGTGCCATGGAACCCCAAACGCTAGGCCCTAAACACTAGACCCTAAACAATGCTCGCTGTGAGCGATGCGCGTGTCTAAACCCTAAACAATTGCTGCATGAGTGGTGGCAGTAACACCAACCTCACCAGAGCGGGCCCGAGGGACTGAGGCCAAGGCCTTGCGTATGAGGACATAGGCGAAGGGTGCTCCGAACTTTCTCAAGATCGCTCTTACAAGATCTTCAAGAGGGACCTCTTGAGTTTCCGAAATTTCGTTTGGGCAGGTCACATCATATAGTCCCTTATGGCTACTGAATGCTACCAAGACAGCTGATTATGGTGGTTTGTACCGCATTCTCTTCGAAGTTTCTCAAAATCATCGCTTATGAAGGCACCTACATGCCCTTACAGTCCTTTATAATCCCCTTCTATCCCTGAGATCCCGGTACCCCATCCCAAACCCTGAGCCATTCTAAGCCGTAAACTCTACACTTTTTGGGAAATCCTCAAGGGTCCATCTCTTTGCAGGTCGCAGGGAGAGGCCGTATTGGCCAGCCTTCAGACCAAGGCAGGCTTCATAATACATAGAGCGTGTATATATATATATAACATTATAGATAGATTCCTCTATCTACGTATCGTATAGACATACCGAGTATGCAAAGTAAACATACATACATACATAGATACATATCTACGTAAGTTTATATGTGTATGTCTAGAGTCTATAGGGTAGTACCATAAAGTGCATGGTATACTTTAGAATTCCCGGAGCCGTATCTGGAAAGCCTGGCTTCGAGCTGGTCTAGAAAAGTGAAGCATCTATGCATGCATAGTTTCATGGATGATAGAACTTGGTTTAACATGTTATGTTATTCTCTTTCTATTGTGGTATCACATATTGTAAAGATTTATACATGATATAACATGGTTTACATAGCATGTTATTCTCTATTGTGGCATTATCTAGTTATTCTTGGGTTATGTCAAGTGAGATTATGTCGTGGTATGTGGCGGAGTTTCCATAGATAGGGGGGCCCAATAAGGAGCCCAGTATACTTGAATCCTTAATCACGGGAACCCCAGAAGAGGCTCCTACTTGGAAAGTTGCCCGAGGGACCCAAGGATCGTGGGTACTCTGCTAGCACCTGTGCCCCCTGAACGCTAAACCTGTGACTGCGCGCGCGAGTTCTTGCAGATTCTTTTCGAAAACTGAGCCTCCTAAGTTACGCTTCCCAAAGCTAATTAGAGCCCACCATGTTAGCAAGACTACTGTCCTGGAAAAAGCGGACCATATGGGAGTTTCTCGAAATCATTCCGATGTAAACCCCCCGATGCCAATCCCTCAACATCCCTGGGTTCCCAAAGGCCCCCTGTTTAGAAAATTCCCATATCAGCTTTTATCTTTGTTGGAGGGACGGTTGCCTGAGCGCGGCAGGTCCGGCAGAAGATGCGAAAGGAGACGTCGCCGCTGGCCCAGGAAGTCACATTCGACCCCTGGGAGGATTTAGAAATTAGATCCCCTGTAGAGCCATCATCATCCCTATATATGCCCTGTATAAGCCCCCATGGCCCATAGTCTCCTAGGGCATCTAATTTTCAGATTCCTTTTGGGGTTCTGGGTCTAGAAGCAATCAACTGGTGTAAGCTTCCTAGCTGTATAGTCTCCCTTAAGTAGATAGAATGTGGGGTATCTGATGTTATTATAATGTTGGGCAATTCCATATTCTATCTACTTGAGGCGGACTATAGCTGGAGGGCGGCAGATTCCAAAAGCTTAGGCACCTGGTTTGATGATGTGCCTAGAGGACACCCGAACAGGGCCCCCATAGCCTGGAACGTAGTCCATTGGCTGAAGCAATACTGCGAAAGGACAATTCCGGAATTCTCCCAACAGGGCAGGCTTCTTGCAGCTGATGTTATGATTCCAGTAGCAGTAGTAGTCGTCGTCGTCGTCGTCGTCGTTTTGTCGTCGTCGTCGTCGTGGTCGTCGTCGTGGTGGTGGTGGTGGTGGTGGCGGCGGCGGCGGCGGTGGTGCTATTGCTGCCGCTACTGCTGCTGCTGCTGCTGCTGCTGCTATTGCTGCCAGTTCTGTACTCCTCTATTGCTTCTTCTGTGATTGGCCGATTGGCCATGCGATTTCCCATCTTCTTGCACTTGTTGAAGCACAAGCCGGTCCGAGGTACAGCTCTTTGGTGGGACCCTCAGTACCACGTTGCTTCTCCCCGGTTCCCAGCACTTAAGTTCAGGACGTTCAGATACGTGTAGAATACCGGGTTGGCTTCAGTGCGGATTGTCATGCCTGCGTTCCAGCACAGCCATACTGTGCAGCGGAGGTGGCTTCCTTCCTCAACGTGGGCTTCAAAGAGGACAAGGTGCCATCGTGCATTGGCTTCGACCATCTCTCTTGGATGTGCACTGGCACAGGTGCAGGTGGCACCTTCCCAAAGCAAAGCGGCCGGGGCCCTGCATGCCTACCTTGCTCGCATCGCGCTTAACCAAAACCTTTCAAAGCGGGGAATTGCCACTGGCAACTTTCCAGAACCCGAGGAACTGAACCCTGTAGAATCACTACTTAACCCCTGTACAAAACCCTGCTCAATCCTCATATAACCCCATAAAACCCCTTGTAGAACCCTCATATAACCCCTATACAACCCCCATTTATATCCCGATATTACCATACCCCTCTATGAAGCTGAGGAACCACCACAGATGTCCAGGGAGATCCCGAAACCGGAGCCTTCCAATCTGCCCCGAAGCGGCTTGCCTTCACTAATTGATTAGAGACCCCGGGTTGAAATGGTTTGGGGTTTAGGGTTTGGGGCTTGGGGTTTAGGGTTTTTGGGTTTGGGGTTTAGGGTTTAGGGTTGAGGGTTTTTGGGTTTGGGGTTTAGGGTTCAGAGTTTAGGGCTTAAGGCCGTGTCCTTGGCTGCAGCAGTCGGCTGAGTCGTCGCGGCGCTTGGCATACTCGATCCCAGGTTCAAAAAGGATTGGGTTTAGGGTGCTTGGCTTAGGATGAGGGATTACGTACGGATTATATAACTGTGATCTAGAGGATTTTTGGGGTTTAGACTCAGACAGGGCTGTCTGCACAGAAGTTTTGAAGGCCCAAGCGCAGACCATGGACCTATGAATTCCGAAGTGAAACTTGGATGATGCCTATCGGGTCCTCGCAAAGGGGGGGATGCCCTGACCCAGTTTTTGACCCAGTTTCCAGGGCCTGGGTGCGTGGAGTTGAAGCTGAGTCAAACGAGCTCTTTTGGACGCCAAATCCTGGAGAGTTACCCCCATACTCTGTATAGAAGTCCTACATATACTTAGGGGTTTCCCCAACATTGGCCTGAACCTGCCAGACTCAGGTCGATCCTTCGCAGATGCCAGTACCAGGCCTTGCAATGGCCGGTGGGTATGGGATTTGGATTTGGGCGATTAGGGTTTAGGATTCAATGGTTTAGGGTTTTCGTCCGGATGCAAAAAGGGTTTTGGGGTTTAGGATTGCTCTTTGCCACCCACAGATAGAACTGGACTCTTCTTCAGCGTCGGCCGGGCTCCACATGATTAAAAGGGGTCATAACTTGCCAGTCATAACAATATGTGTAGTAGCCTGCATTTCAGTTTCCATCTTACTTGATTCTCCATTATTAGGGATAAAGCCTTAAACCTTATAAATCCTATTATCACCCTGTATGCTCCCTATAATATCCCTTGCCAGTCAGTGTGCTATAGGACTGTTGGAGGGCAGGCAAGGACTAGTGACGTGCAAGTTTTGGGTCTAGCAAACCTTCGATACTAAGCTACTAAAAATCCTGCATGATTTTAGTAGAGTAGACTGCCACAATGTTGGCCTCGCGTTAAACCTCCCCCTCTACCCCACCCCCCATCCGATTGATTTATCTTCGTTCTGGGGTCCTAGGGGAGCCCCGGAAGAACAAGCCAAAAAATATGGGGGTGAAAATCCCTCTAGAATAAGTGAACATCAAATTAAATTCGTTGCCGCGAAGAGGTTGTTATTCTCGGGGAATATTATAATTGTGGGTCTTGTAATTATTGTGTTCAGGCGGCGGGATTTTATGAATGTGGGTCTAGTCCTTAATGTGAAGTCAACATTACTTTCCAAGGTAAGAGGTACTCGGGGACATGCAGGATTTTTAGCAACCACCGTAGCATCTTGCATTCTCATGAGACTTGAACCTTTCAAGGCTCTAGCCTGCTGAAAAAAACCAAGAAAGCAACAACACCCTACGATCTGTGAAGAGATGCATCGCTCCTTCGTGACCATGAGCTAATACAGCAAATGACCTGCAGCAGCAAAAACCGAGAGCCAACCGAACAGTTGAATCATGTCAAGCCCCTGGACCGGAACATTTACATAAATCGTGCTTCGAATATCCCAAACTCCTCAATCCTTACAACCCTTCTCGTCTTCTCAAACACAGTATCTGCGCATCTTCTTCTTCGTGCGGCGTTAGGGGAAGTTATCTGGGGCATCCTGAAGTTCTCAGTGTGTCAAGGTCCCACCCTCCCTTATGCTCTAACCCTATATATCCCCTATATAACCCCTATACCCCCTTCATAGCCGCTACATTAGCCCAATGTATCCCCTGTATAACCCTATATAAACCCTATATATCCCTACCAAACCCTAGAAGCTAAACCCTCTTCCCTCCATGGCGTGCGCTGGCTGGCTTCTCCTGCTTGCCCTGGCGCTTCACCAGGGCCATGGCGGAAACGTCCAGGTGCTGCAGGCCCTGCCACCACGTATCAGGGGGCTCAAAAGGTGGGATGAAGGTAGGTGGGTTAAAGGATCCCGAGTATGTACTCCACTGTGTTGGGGCTGATTTCCTATATCCCACCTTCCCTTTCCCCACCTTTTGAGCCCTCTGACAAGCAATGTACACCCGAGAAGGGTTTAGGGTTTGAGGGTTTAAGGTTATGTTAGGGTTATTTTGGGTTTGCATTGGGAGTGGAAAATAAAATGGAAACTACTATTTGGGGTTTAGGGTTTCGGGTTTTGGGTCCCGCCCTTTAAGGGCTTAAATTGATATTAGGATCCCTATTTCAATCCCTATTAAGTAGAGGAGAATTATTATTCGCGGGTCTACGTTATAATATGCCACAAGCCCTGCATGGCCCTAAGTACCTTGGGACCTTGTAGCTTTGGAATTGAGGTAAAATAGTGTAGTAAGGTCATGCAAGGCCTTTAGCATCAAGAGTCGGGATTAGATGCAATGATGATGCAGGATTGCTGTAGTGAAGAGATGATACTGCCTGTCTATGATATTTCTCTATAAAGTCCTAGCTTTCCATTGTGTAAGTCCCCGGCACACAGGGTCCCACTACCAAACCCCAAATGAAGTAATACTCCTGAGTAATGTGGTTCTGGCATTTGCGCCAAGCCAGGTTATTTTCGCATTGTGACAGAGCGAGGATATCATCTTACCCTATTGAGGACTAGAATACCATTACTTTGTTTGAGGTGGCGCTCAGGGATTTTTGGACTTGGAGGCTGTAGGGGTCTGGGGTTTAGGGCATCGTGGGATAGTATGGTACCAAAATAAGCAAAAATTGTACCCTCCTCTTGGGTATTGTACTTTGTATACAGAACACAGTCCTACTTGGTTCAACCACCCCAAAAAGGCAACACTCAGGTGGATCCCCAAGGCCTTGGGGCTTGCCCGTCGTCCTGGCAGCTCACCACTGGCACTGCTGGCAACCAGGCGTCAGGGCAGAAAGAACACCACAGGTATGTCCACGGTGGTAGTGGTGGTGGTGGTAGTTGAGTAGCAGTAGCAGTGGTAGTAGTGGTGCTGGACCTAACACTAGTAGTGAGTACAAAACATTCGCAGTAAGGAACATCGGCGGAAGCATCATCATTCATGACGCCTAAATAGAAGCTCAACGGATCCAGTCCATGGGATTTTTCACAATTTCTGTGATGATTTCGTGTAAGGATCCAGAAAAGCTGGCCCATGTTGACCCCAAATTTGAGGCATGGGCTGATCTAAAGGCCTTTGGGGAAGTCATTGGGGGCTTCTGCAGGCAAACATATTGGTCATTTTTCTTCGTACAGCACTTCTTGAGAACATCCCCAGGTTTGTGTCAGATCTGGCTTCCCATCTTCATCCACAGTGGCGGATGCTGCTGCAGCAATGTCGCAAGCTGGAAACATCAAGGGACGACGGATCTATGACCGAATATTTGGGAGCGCCAAGGTGTACCAGAAAGGGTCCACGGATGCCTTTGAAGTTGGCACGCGAGACTCCAGCAACATCGACTCCAGTGACTATGTTGATGGCATGTCAGTGACCATGGGTACTCCTCGCACTCACATCTTCACACTGGCACTTGGGACCTCCTACGACACTGCGCTCGGGACAGGCGGCATGTGCCCCTGCGATCCTGTGACGCAGAGTGCGCAATGTGGAGGCGACCCCGTACCATCTTTCTTAAGCGGAGAGGCTGTGATCTGTGACTCTGGGACGTTAGGCACAGCCAGCCTGGCATGGGGTACCCGGTTGGTACAGACGAGCTTTGATGTGGCTGTCTCTGTGACGTCGGCAGACATTGAGGTGCGACTGATGAGTGATGCTGTGCCGAGCTCAGATGATCCAGGGTCTCTGGAGAGCTTTGCATGCAGAGGTCGGGCTGTCCTTGTCATTTCGGAGAGCAGCCTAGGTCAACACGAACGAAGACGTAGGTATCTTTGAGCTGCTGATCTACGTACAAGAAATCGAAGACAACATGCCACCTCAGTTAACCCTCACAGGCCCCTCGCAGTTGAATGTGGAGGTGAATTCCTTCTTCTCTGATCCTGGTGCCACCTGCATAGATGACATTGACGGGGTGCTGAATTCCAACATCACTGTCTTAGGCTCCGTGAACACCAGCCAACTGGGTGAGCAGGAGCTCTTGTACATCTGCGCCGACTCCTATGAGAACAGTGTCAACCAGACACGAACTATCCTTGTGCTGGACTCTGAGATTCCCGTGCTTCAGCTGATGGGCGATTCCCGAGTGTGCCTGCAGGAAGGTGTTCCTTATGTGGAATTGGGGGCGACTTGCACAGATCGTGTGGATGGGACCTCTCCTGCGACGATCGAAGGTGTTGTGGACCCTGACGTGTTGGGAAACCACACCATCTTCTATTCATGCAGTGACAGTGCTGGGAATAATGTGACTGTGATGAGGACAGTCACAGTTGTTTCTAGCGACATGCCCGGAAACTTGTTCCTGACGAGCTACTCGGTGGATGTCGGCGGTTGGAGCGAAGCGTTTGCCCCGCAAGTCCACGCTGCAAACGTGAATCCTGCCACTGACTTTGCTTTCAATTGGTCGGAGGGTGTTACTGCAGGTCCAGAGTTCTGTAGGTTTATATCTATTTACGAATCGCAGGCTGATGGAACTGTATCACTCCTCAGGCAGTATGAGGGCTATGGGCTCCTTAGCTCAAGTGGGGTTCTGGTTGATGGGCAGCTACAACTGGCACAGGGCTCTGACTCGTCCTTGAGTGCTGGGTTGAAAGACTCAACGTCCTACACGGTGGTGGTGGATGAGCTCTTAGTGCACGACTCGTCTGCGCGCGGCAACGCTCGTCAAACTCTGCAGTTCAGCACCGGTGACTACTCTTCACCCATCTTGCTGCAAACACGGCCTGCGCCAAGACACACAGCCTGGCCGCTGGCCTCTGGCATCCATCTGCAATTTGATGAGCCGATCGGCCCTGGAAACGCATCGTTTTTGCGTGTCCTGGATCTTGCTCTGGGCGTTGAGGAAGTGGTGCCGTGCAACGGCTCAACATCAAGCCATGGCCTGTCTCTGAATTTTTCCACAGACTCACTGCAGATCTTGGGCCTGGATCAAATTTGGCGTCCCTGCACCGATTTCCGCCTCAGTGTGGATGCTGCTTGCGTACTTGACCTGTCAGACAACACCAACCCCTTTCAGGGGCTGAACGAGTTGGCTTTCGCGACGTCATGCCTGACCAGCATCGAGCCGCCACGGAACAGCTTGCAGGTCTCCCCCAGTAGTCCTATAATTTTGTACTTCCCTGAGCCCGTGCAGTTGGCGTCAGCCAGTCCCCCCGGGATCGTCATTCAAATTGTCAGTGAACGTGAGCGTCGCGTCGGCCCGGATGACTGGCCCTATGTGTATGCGCTGGATGAAGCCATTACAATTGACCTCGCCTGTGTCACAAAGTTTTGCCTCATACACCGTGCGCTGCCCAATGTAACCGCGCAGTTCTCCTCCGGGCTTTGCAGCGGCCTTCTTCCTCAGCAGTGCCGCGGGAAGCTTCACCGGGTGATAATCGAAGAAGGCACGCTGGAAAGGGCTAACGCAAGCTGGCCGAGTGCTTCAGTCATGAACGGTACGTTTCTGCCTGCAGAACTTGTTGAGGACCCCTACTACTTTACTCTGGAGCCCATCGATGCCAAAGCCCCGCAGCTGCTTCAAATGGACGTTGCCGCAGTGTCCGAGAGCCAGGTGGACATTTTTGTTAGCATCGACGAGGGTGGCCACGTCTACTGTGCAGCTTGGGAGCTGTCAGGTCCAGGTCCTTGCACTTCGGAGCCCTCCTTGCTAGTGGAGTACAGCAGTGACATTTGCAATCAAACACAGACCGAATGCAAGAACTGTGACCCACCAAGCTTTGGATGTTTTGATAGAAGCAGTATGTGGGTGGACGACGGTTGTGCTGGACGGTTTAGTCTGGAAGGCGTCGAACTGGATTGCCAAAGTGCAGAAACAGACACGACTATCCACGACGCTGCCTTTCAGAGCGTGCTCTCTTTGGGGCATCGGCATGCCTGTGCCCTGAGAAAGGCAGATAGCTCGGCAGTGTGTTGGGGAAACCCGTCTTACATAGACCCAGTGACATTTGCAGCCCCGGCGGGAACCTTCAGGTCCATTGCTGCAGGCTATTTGCACACTTGCGCAGTTAGAGAAAGCCAGGATATTCAGTGCTGGGGGACAGACCTTCATGGAGAAACTGCCGGGCCGGGAACCAGTGATGCGTTTGATTATATCACAAGTGGACACCGCTTCTCCTGTGCGCTAAAGGTCGCTGACAGGTCGCCAGTGTGCTGGGGCTTGGATGATAGTGGACAGGCGACACCTCCAGCTGTCCCGTTACTGACCATCTCTGCTGGGTACAAACATGCGTGCGGGATCCGGCTTGCTGATTACAACGTGGTGTGCTGGGGGCTCAACGATTTGGGGCAGGCCAGTCCCCCAGCAGGGGAGTTCGTGGCGCTCAGTGACCGTGGCGACATCATGTACCATGGCAGCCTCAGCGCCGGGTGGTATCACACCTGTGCAGTGCAAAGGAAAGACGCAGCAATCGTGTGCTGGGGTGATAACACCAATGGACAGACAGATGCTCCCCAAGATGCCCAGTTTTTGCAGGTTGCCGCTGGAAGGGCCCATTCATGTGGAGTACAGCGAGTGCTTGCGGGCCAGGGACCAGGCCTTGCCTCTTCCTTGGCTTCGGACCTATGGGAGAAGACTATTTTTGCTGTGCATAAGGGCTCGTTAGGTAGCAGAAGCCCGTCTGCGCTGATGCAGACACACAGTCTACTGAGAATTGAGGTGTTTTAGCTGCTGTATGTGTCAAGCAGTGAATCCACTCCCAGCTTTGGCTGCAAACGCAAGACAACAGGGAAGGGGTTGTCCGTTTTTTTCTCCCATGCAGGTGTCGTGAAGAATGGCACCGTGAGGTGTTGGGGCCTGGACGATCTCGGCCAGAGCTACCCGCCAGACTCATTGCCTAAGGTGGGTGGTGTGGCTACAGATGATGACTACACCTGCAGTCTGGCCATGGAGAACGGAATCCCTGATTGCTGGGGGAAGGATGACTTCAACCAAGCAACACCGCCTGCTGAACACCTGGGCTCACCGGACGAGTTTGAGAACGTGACCTGTGCTACCGACACCACAGCCAGTAGCCAGCGGATCAAGGGCTTGTCTGGAGTTCGGGATGCGAGTGATGACGTCCAGGTGCTCTACAATGCTGCCCAAGGCTGCGCCGAGGGCCATCTATCCCTGGCAGGCCGAGAAATTGGAAGCGTTGAAAATGTCCAGCCTGTAGTGTAGTGCAGAAAGTGCGCACCCTGACAGGTCTCCGAGAAGGCACCGGCTATGGGATTTACTGTACGGCCGAAGATGACGATCTCCCGATTCCAAACATGCTGAGCGACCAGGTCGTCGTAGCAGCTGGCAGACATATCACGATGCCAGACAGGACCTCATGCAATCTCAGTCTATAGTCTGCCAGATTCTCGGTCATAGGCTCGTATCTAGGATAGACAGTCTTTGTTTTGATGTTGCCAGGACTCCCCCGACTGTGACCATCGTTCGGGTGGACGAGGGCGTCAGTGGTGCATCCCTAGAGGTTCTGCTGAGCGAGCCCGGACTGCGAGTTTGCTGCGTAGCAGTGCTGGACAACATGCCAGCAGTCTCTGGTGCTGAGATTCTGAAGCTGGGAACCTTTCAGAAAGCCAGTGCGAGTGGAAACACAGCGACAGTTCATCTGCAAGGTTTGCTGCAGGACACCGAATATGACGCCTACTGCATTGGGGAAGACTTGGCAGGGAACTGGGGCAGCGACAGCTCTGTCCTGCTTAGCAAGCGAGATTTCCATGTAAGGCGAGATCTGACCCCGCCGCAACTGATTTCTACAGATCCGATATCTGGAATCACGATGTCATGCGCACCAGATGGGGTCGCTGCTGGGTGCTTAATACCCCCTTTGGTTCTTCGTTTTGATGAGGACATCTTCCGGGGCACAGGCAACATCACAGCAGTGTGTTTCTTTGCTGCAATCCAGGTCTGTTCTGTGTGCAGAATGAAGACCGCCGTGCCGGGAGGATGCCGTGTCGTGCGCCAATGTTACACACCCCGGAGATTACATACTGCCCAAACGACATCTTGTATATTGAGGGACATATTTACCATTGGGTTGAGGGTGTGTAACATTAGCCCCTGAAATCAGGTCTCAACAATCCTGGTATTTGCGAGGATGTGGTCATACCTATAGAGGTTGAGACGTCGTCGACGGGAACATCTACCATCCTTCATCACGACATCACTGTACCCTGGGCAGGAAAACCGTCCAGTAGTCCGAGCTAATGACCTATATGGTAGTTCCCCTAATTAAGGGACCCCAATATAGACCCCAATATACTCTACTCCTTATTATGGGGACCCTTAAAAAGGTACCCCTAGGTTTGGGAAACCCTCATATCTCCTATAGCCCTAAAATTGCTTTTGTAAATGCCACCAGTGTTTCGTAACATGCCTACCCGGACCCCAAGCCCTGAACTCCAGACATCATGTCAATTTCCACTTAATTCTCCGTTATCGGTGTAATATCCTTCATGTCTAGAAGGCCTATATATGCATATATATATACATTGATACGTATATATATATATAGGTTTAGGGTCTCCTCTCTCTCTCTACCCATGCACCTAATCCTTAGGACTTTAGTGCCTTCCAAACCCAGGAGGCAATGAATTTTCTGCTTCGAGGGATACATGGTCGTTTCCCCCCGAAGTAATATAGTCCTTGTTTCAAAGAACCCCTTAAACGCCAAACCCATAAATCCTAAACCCCTAAATCCTAAACCCCTAAACCATGAACCCCTAAACCCTAAGGCACCCTAAACCCCACAAGGGGCCCAACGGTGACCCAGGTAAGCTTTCTGGTGCCCTTGTCGGACGCTTCCAACTTCAAGATCGTGATCGACGGGGCACTACAGGTGGTGACAGCTTAATCCCCGCCCCGAGGGTTAAGAGTTTTGGAATTTGTTTAGGGTTTAGGGTTTAGGGTGTAGAGTTTTGGGTGTTGGGTTCACTGTCTACAGTTTGTGGTTTAGAGTGTGGGGTTTGGGTTTCCCGAGAGGGTTACGCGGGGGTATGAGGGGGAATGGAAAAGACAATGGAAGCTGTTTTGGGATTAAGGCGAATAGTTAAGGGTTTATAGGGTATCTTTGGGAATGAAATGGAAAAGCAGGTGCGAAACTAAGTGGAAACCAGGGCTATTTGGGGAGTTACCTCCCTCTGACATTAACACGTCCCCTAATGGTGAATGTTCCCAATGTGTTATAGTTTACCAAATGAACTATTTGACATTAGGGTGCATTTTGGGTTGTGATGGTTTTAAGCAGTTTAGAGCCTAAATCCGTTGATATCCCCTCTAATGCTCCCCTATCTAGTCCCCTATACAACTAGCTGGGCCCTGCTATTAGCCCAATGTGATTATATTGACTCATAGAAGCGATGGAATATAAAGTTAGATGGGTTCTGATGGGATGGTCCACCCCTGACAGGATATGGCTGGAAATCCTGTCAGTCTCTCTGACACTTGCCAGTTCTGGGTCCCGCCCGGGGCAGAATATTCTCGTCCCGACACCTGCGCCGGGACTTACACATTCTGGACACCGTCGCTGGGCCTTGTCTTTGGTAAAGCTTACTCCTGCTCGTTGATGGCCGCAAAGGTGAGGGTAAATACGTAAGGGGCCTTTTTGGACTCCAAACGCAATCATTGGCATCTATTGGGCCATTATCGTGATAACTGATAGCATGAAAGGTAGACATGAAAGCAGACTGAGCGATTTCTAAATTGCGGCTTAGGTCGTGAGGAAGGCAGATGACCTTGTTCAGCCCCTGGGCTTCAGATGCTCTGCTTTGTCTACCCGCTCCTGGGCAACTTGACGGCCGACGTGCGCAGATGACCAGCACCAAGTGATGCTTTCAGCATTGCAAAGATGTACTATAGTCCAAAAGCTCATATAATGCCACGACAACCTGAAGGTTTCTTGGCGCTCGTGAATCCTCTGACTCAGGGACCGCATGCAAGGAAAATTGGTTCCCATCTTGGGGGTTTAGGGTTTGCCGAGCCTTGGTGGTTCCGTTTAAGTTGTACGCCGGCTTGTCGAGAATCAGATTGCATACTTGAAGATCTGTGCAAGTGTGACCCCGACACAGACAAGAAGTTTTTGCCCCACCCAATTGCAAAGGAATTTATAACGTAACCACTTCTTGCATCTGCAATCGTAAGCAGGCGAAATTTCCTGAATTTGCAGGCCATTTCCTTTACAGTAACCGTACCCCCCTGGCTGATCGCAGATGCTCGGCAGGTCCAAGAGCTCGCTCTGTGAGCAGGCGCGTTTGCTCCAAACGGATGTAATAATGGTAATGAGTAACAACGGTAATAGTCATAATAACGTTAATAACGGTAAAAATAGTCATCATGGCAATGATAGTAGTTTCAGTAAGAATAGTAACAGAAGTAGTAACAGTTCATAGTGATAAGGGTGTACAGCAGAAATGAAAGGTTTAACCAGGGCACGTGCACCTATCTGAGCTAGACCAGCAGGCGATAACCATAACGACGAAACCTATACAGTCTCTTGACGCGGAGTTGGTTTAAAGGGGTGGGACATGTAGGGCTTTTGGGGTATGCTGGGGTCATGTTCAAGCATAGAGGTACAAACGGCATAAAATATCACATGTACAGAGACCACCTGCGTCTACAAGATGAGACGATGATTACGTGGTGTGCTCACTCCGGTTCTATACAATCTCCGCTGCAACTTTAGATGCGGGAACAAGAGCCGAGCATCAAAAGGGACTGGCTCAAGGCCATCAATCACGCCCCTGCCCAGTGGCACGATTACTTTGTGAAAGCGATTTGGGCCTGCATTTGAACGGTAGTGAGACTTGTGGTGCGGATCATGAAAAGTGTAGTCAGTCGGAGATTAAGAGACCACGGCAAGTTTGCAAGCCTGTTGAGCGGTAGACTTGCTTGGGGCAAGGCAAGTCCATTGCATCCTTGTGCTGTTGATGCCGAGGAAGGCCACTTGCCTTCTTGCTGTCTTCGGGGACCGGGCTTTTCGAGTGATACGAAGAGCATGCATATCCCCAAATACCCTCAACCCCAGGAATATCAAGGTCGTGCAGGATTTTTTGTATCAGCAGTATCACAGGGATTGCCGGCCACAATCACTGACCCCACCCTCATTGCGAAGCATGTCCTTGAAGCTCGTCCTGGCCCCAGGCACAATCTCAGTCCACATTACATGGGTAGTTGTCAAAATTATGATCCTTTTTTGGGTCCCAATTATAGTACGGCACGTACTATTTAGGGTACCCAAAAAGGGATCATAATATTGACAACCACCCACATACCTCAGCCGTGTCAAGACGTGCATTGCATGGTCAGTGGAATTTGGGCTGAATCCTAGGTTGTTGTGAAGGAACATGACCTCGGCCCCTTAGAGAACGCACGGGGAAAAACACAATATGACCGGGCATTATTATGTCCTGTATGTACAGATATGGGAGTTTCCCAAAATTAGGGGTACCGTTTTGGGGGTCCCAATATTGAGGACTATAGTATTTGGGGCTCTATATTGGGTCCCCCCATTTTGGGAAACTACCATACATAATATAGGAACTCACTTGGAGTTTCTTCACAGTAAATCGGCAAGGCAAGGCTGACGACTCTAGCAGCTCCCGTTGGAAGGCCAAGCTGTTTTTTTGATTGAATTGCTGTTGCAGGTTCCTTGTCCACCGCGCCTTCTCCCATTTGCCTCGGGCAACGTACTACTACTATTACTACTACGACGACTACTA